CCAGCATCATAGCACTGGAGCAATACGGATTCCGTCAGCATCAGTCATGTACTACCAGTCTGCTTATTACCCGTGGCAGATGGACCGAGATAGCCGACAGTGGGATCGACATTGATGTCATTTACCAAGACTTTTCTAAAGCCTTGTACCGCATAGATCACGTCATCCTTCTCCAAAAGCTACAAGCGTACTGGTTTGGAAACCGTCTTTAGATGGATCAGAAACATCCTTCTTCAGCGGCACCTTCAGGTTCAAATTCGGGGCTCATTTTCGGATCCAATTAAGGTGGACTGCGGTGTTCCACAAGGGTCCGTGTTGGGGCCGCGGTTATTCTTGTTCTTCATTAATGACCTTGCGAGTGCCAAGTCAAATTTCCTGCTTTTGCCTATGACATCGATATGGCGGGCAATCGGCTGTCAGGAAGATCACGATATGCTGCAACGAGATTTGGACCACGCTTTTGAGTGGTCAAAGGCAAATCCACTCCTGCTTAGCACGGACAAGTGCAAAACCGTGCATGTCCGCCTCAAGCCCGCGTATGCATATAAGCTTGGAGACGATGTATTGAAAACCGCCTCCCAAGAGCGAGACGTTCGGGTGGTGATCCAAGACGACGTCGGCTGTTCGGCGCAGTCCTTGAAGGCGTCCAAAAGCGCCAATTGACATGTTGGTCTGTTACGGAGGGCATTCGGGCGGTTCGATCACTCCAACTTCCCCCAAATGCTCAATGCGTATGTGAGGCCGCATGTAGAGTACGCGATCCAGGCTTGGCAACCTGGTTAAAACGCGACCTGGTTGCACTGGAGACCGCACAGAGACGGGCAACAAAAAATGTGAAGGGTTGTCCCACCTGCAATACCATAGGCGACTGAAAGCCCTGGGAGTGTACAGCGGAAGATATCGCCGTCTACGGGTGACCTCATCCTGGCGTTCCAGATTTTGAAAACCCCGGTCACGCTTGCCGCCACCTCCTGAAGCTTAGCTGCAACACAGAATTGAGGGGTCATAAATTGAAACTTGCCACCCAATACAGGCGACTTGAGTGCCGCCGGAATTATTTTCCCTTCGAGTTTGTCAGTCGTAGAACGCCCTTTCGACTTTCGTCACTTCCGCGCCTACGCTACCCAATTTTAAACAACGGCTCATCAACGCTTTACACCACCTACATTACTTGATCTGATTTCTATTCACTGAGTGATGTCAAGACGCAGACAAACGCCGTGCTTAACAACCTCACGAAATCGGTGTAGACGGATATACCTATGTGTTAACGTGGATAATACGCCGAGTCCACAGATGCGTTTTTCGCTTTTGTGTAACTTCATTAAACCAACCTTATTCCCACCAACCATCCTACGGGACTTGTCAAGTCTTGGCTTTCTTTAACCATATTATACCACTGTCCACCTTTCTAGTCTTGCAGAGTGCAATTATGTTTTCTCTCTCGGGCACAAACGGTTAACCTCCAGAAAGAAAAGAAAAATAAGTTTATCATCAACTGGTTCACCAGTAAAATAGCACAGCAAGATTGCGTAGCGGCGTGCACACGTTGTGTATCGGTCGAAATCAGCGGTTCTTTACCTTTTGGAGGCGGCTATTCACAAATCGGGTTTACTATAATCAATCACCCCCAAGCACAGTTTCGTTGCAAAAACCAACCAACGAATTACCATCGCGTTTTTGCTCTTAATTACGGGAAATTATGGCCATTTGTATTCACACTCGATCATTCAAAGAAAACATCTATTTTTTGCGACCTTTTATGGAAGCAAGTGCCGATAATCCTCAGTGAAAAGGTTGATATTACTTAGTTATAAAAACTTCGGTATATTTGGTGCAATTTCGGTTAATGCGTATCGTAAGTCTTGCTCCAAGTTCATTTGATTTCTTGATTTCATTGTCATTGTCACCACACACCACACACCCAAACATTGCTGCCAATGAGATCATTATTCTCAGTTCTCTTTCCGATGGTAATAGGTACTCACTACCTACCACTGTCCAAAATGCTGCTAATTCTGTGCTTTGGAAATATCATCATCATCATCATACACGTTAGCTAGAGGTGGGAAACACCTCAGCTACTGTGCCGCAATACAAAGAAAAAAGGAGAGGAAAAACAACAACTGGTGAAAGCTGGCTGAGCTACCGGTAACGGATGGGCATCGTTCCGGTAAGCTTTGGAAATATAGTTTTAATGCGTTATCTTCGCGAATTCCTAGGAACTATACTTTGGCTTCTATTTCATTATCCGAAAATATTCCCTTATTCACTGAAATGGGCCTTAGCACCGAGGCATTTACTTGGTGATTTTCCAAAGCACGAAAAGATTTGCTGTTTGGATGTACCACTGATGACAAGTGGTAGATTCTTTCATCTGTGTACGTGCAGTTTTCATTTGTTCCAATGACTGCCATTGTTGGTTCTGGAAACATCGAAATTTGGTCAACTACAGCTTCGTGTTGGTAAAGTTCTAATTTCCAAAAAAAACTAGCAATCCTATCCTGGTCAGTTCACATATTCCACATATTTCTTGCAACCTGAAGTTCAGCGTATATAACTCTCCAAAGAAATCCGCACCATATGGCGGTTTTGAACTAGATTCGTTGTCGGTTATTATGGCATGTAACCCGTTCTCCTCACCCTTACGCAGTTCTTTCTCTTCAAGAAACATAGCTACTTCTTCACGAAGCGCGAGCCTTCGGTGCAACATCTTTCCTAGTGGTAACCAACTCATTACTGTGTGCAACAACAACAAGTAGAATTTGCCCCCAAATTCATTACACATCTTTTTAAAAACCCTTGCATAGCTCGCACTACCGCGGCTGACATTTACTATTTATGCTATCTTGCTAAAGCATAACGATGTATGATGCAGGGGTTAACCAAAGCGTGCGGAAGAAAGTTTTTGACTAATATTTGGAATCCAGAACGAACCCCCAACATGGATGGTGCTCTGTCTGTACAGATACCTACCAACTTTGTACACTGTAGACCCTTTTCTTCAACGAAATCCTTCACAGTTTAAAATACACCTTCGCCAAGAGTAGTAGTGCTCAAGTGTTTTGAGAACAAGTACTCTTCTTCGAAACCCTCACCTTTTATATACCGAACATGGATAAGGAACTGAGGACAAGATGCAATTTTTGGTCAACACATCTAACCATATTGCGAGAAAAGGATAACATCATTTCGCTGAGAACCCTGTCCAAAATATTCTTGGCGTGTTCTCGATGAGAATTTTGATGGTGCTGTTAGTAAGTGATATAATAATTAACTTATTCGCAGGTTACTGTCAAAGAACACGCTTAAACCTATTTACAATTGGAGGTTTCAAGCGATCCTCTCCTATAGTATGAAGTTTACTTGCTTCGGCGGTCAGATGAGCGATGTGGTACGAAACTAAAAGACCAGCTTCAGATGACTTACAAGAGAAGTGCAGTGTATTCAGGCACAAATATTGCAGCGCAACTAATTTACTTCTAACAGAGTAATGATTTAATTTCCAACGAACTAAAAGTGACTTCTTTCAAAGTGGCATTTCAGTTTCTTGGGTTACCTGCACATACATGTAATTCCTTTGCTGCAAAAAAGCATTATGGTTTCACGACAATTTTATCGAAAGAATTAGTGAAGCCTAGATAAAGAAAAGCTTTACGTAGGACAGAAATTTTCCAGATGACCTGGCACCTGCAAAAGAATTATGCACATAGGTTATACGTGTACATATATATATATATATATATATATATATATATTCGTGAGTAAATGTAGCTAACCAGATAGGCAGTTGCATATATCCTCATCATTATTGATGGCAAAACCGTTGAATACGTTCACTCAACTTCTATGTCTTCTCGTCAAAAAATATCTGTACTGAGAGTTTTATTCATCTGATCCGGAGCTAGGAGTGGCTGCACTCCGGTGCTGACGTACAGCGGTACGCTGAATTGCTAACTGTCCAGGGCAGTTGTTGCATTTTCTGACTAACTTGGTGTGCTGTCTAATGATGTCACCAATGCGTCGGATCAGACTGAAATCTAGGAGCATTATTACGTTACTCACAGTCTG